GGTACTTACGGAACATCCTACACATATCTGCTCTGCCTACATTGGAATCACTTGAACGCTGCTTGTTGGAAACATACTTTCAGAGTTCTGCAGAGGACCTGCTAAGTGATGATGATGTAAATGTTTGCGGTGCAGCTATAATGAACAGAACACGAAAGTGTTCTGAACCTAATCGCACATTCAGAATAAGCTAACATACGCCATGAATGCGCAAATATACACGTAACTTGCCAAAAGTGCATTTGTTTGGCACTCAATGAAAACATGTGGTTTATGTTACTTCCATTGTCATTTTGAAGAGCTTCGTTTGGTAGCGTGTTAGTCAAACTCGCAGACTGTGTCCTCTTCCTTCAGGCTTGTTCTGTTGGTGTCATTTTTCTTCCTGTAGAATGTAGACAGTGTTGAATGTTGAATTGAGAATCGACATCGCAGCACTGGAGAGACTAACATAAGTGCTCTGTTCCCATTTTCAGCAGCAAGCGAAGAAAGAATATTGACATAAATAAACAAGCGAGCAATCAGTATATTGACTAGTAAGTGTGTCAACACTAGTAGGTGGGTCAACACACTGTATAATGGAATATTAGGTGTGTCAACACTAGTAAGTGTGTCAACACTAATAGGTGGGTCAACACACTGTGTAATGGAATATTAGGTGTGTCAACACTAGTAGGTGGGTCAACACTAGTAGGTGTGTCAACACTAGTAGGTGGGTCAACACTAGTAGGTGGGTCAACACTAGTAGGTGGGTCAACACTAGTAGGTGGGTCAACACTAGTAGGTGTGTCAACACTAGTAGGTGGGTCAACACTAGTAGGTGGGTCAACACTAGTAGGTGGGTCAACACTAGTAGGTGGGTCAACAGACGGTATAATGGGCTATTAGGTGTGTCATTCATCATTGGCACCTTTCCATCTTTCCAGATGATAGTGTTATATTGCGCTATGAGGAGGTATGAGACCGACCGACATGTCTGACTTTAGCATTTGTTGACCAGGTTAAGTTACCCGAGAAAAATTACTGTTTAAATAAATACTAAAACTGATCTTTTCGGGACGTATTCGGGCCCCGAAAAAGAGTGACTTCCCTTTCCATTCATAAATCGCCGTGTCGTACGGCTTGTCCTATGCTGCGGGGGTGTCCCGCTACGCTGCATACAGTTGTGGAACTTAGGCTGCGCTCTCTCTTGGTGGGACGTAGGAAGGTTGGGGTAAGGGCAAGTTCTGAATGTTTCGGGACCGTTAAAATCGCTCACTTCCTGTAACGTAGAACACGCGATATTGCCGGTGGGTAACAACAACTAGAAAAATGCTACGCCTTGTTGGCCGGTCACTAAGCGTGACACCCCTACAACATAGCACAAGCCGTGCGACACGGCGATTTATGAATGGGAAGGGAATTCACTCTCTTTCTGGTCCTGAAAACGTGAGATGTACCACATAAATTATTTAATTGATCGATAATTTATTGAATGGCCGGATTCTTGACATACTAATGTTAATGCAGATTTATGGACGGATTTATTTGTTCGCTAGTTAGTTATTTGATTGTTTTAACTGTCATTTAGTTGCTAGCTGACTGATTCGCTGTTTTATCTACGTATTCGTTGATTAGTTAATTATTGACCTGTTCATTTATTTGCTGATTGTTGACCACTTTAATCAATTAAGCAATGAAGTAATAAATTGATTGGCTGAATCATTCGTGGGAGCTCCCGTAGTGTAGCAGCTAGTCGCTCGCCTCGGGGCCGAGGGTTATAAATGCAAATCTGTACCTACTCAGATTTTTTTTTTATGAGACAATTTTGTCAGGTCGCCATGTCTAACATGGGTACAAGATGAAGTCTTGGGAAGTAAAGACGGTCGACGTAATGTTGACAACACATATCCACCAAGAGCCGATCTATAAAATATAGATCTAGCACTGTACACCCAATAAGTCTAAAAGCTTTGAATAAGTTCCTTTACTTTCCTTTTTAATTCCATTGAATTATTCGTGACGGACTGGTTGCATAAAACATCACATTTGCAGTTAAATCAATGTTAAAAGCAGACAGGAATCATCAATATAAATGGACCTCGTCAATTTCCCAGCTTAAATATCTGGCAACATTTAACCACAACGTGTAAAAACTTCTACATCAATGTTGTATAACTTGATCCGACGCAATATCTTCTACGTATTAATTGCTTCTCGTCACTTATACGTGTGTTGTGTCCAGTCTTATTTTCTCTCGGTCACAACTCTCCTCGCCGCGGCCTCGGTCATCTTCAGATGCAGTCCTGCATGTTCGCCGATTCGTGCAAGATTTATGAAAACATTATACCGAACGTCGGGCAGCAGAGAGGGCTATTCGAGCGGCCACAAAATAATTCTTCAGAATCTCAATGAATAAATCATGAAAAAGAAAAGTCGGTCATGTTTACACCAACACTGCTGAGTGTGATGGAGTGGGCGTTGTGGAATAGAAGCTTTTAGTAGAGCAAAAGACTTTTTCCTGAGCCTTCGGGCGTATTGGGCACATAGGGCTACACATATATTTGTTTAAATTAATAGGCACTTGGTGGGTAATGTCGCTAGCATCACGCGGGCTGCCTTTACTTCCCAGGACTTTTACCTTGTACCCATTTAAGATCGACCTGGAAGGCAAAGGTCATTTTTCAAGGGTGGGGGGGGGGGGAAATCCGGTTCCTTAGGACCTGAACCGACGACCTTCTGATCCGCAGGGAAGCGTCTAGCGGCTACACCACGGCGGCTCTCCAGAAAGCCTTCGGGTCCTTTTCACGTTTCACGGTTCTTCTACACAATGGCTGACCTTTCTTTCACTCATGCTTTCTCAGACTGTTCTACGTCAGAGGGGTGTCAAGTTATCTTGCCTCCAGTTACATCAGCGCCGATGCCGTGTGTTCTATACTAAACCTCAACAGGGCTTTTAACGACCCCAGAACATCTAGAACTGGCCCTAACCCAAACTTCCCCTAACCACAGCCTGAGCCTAGGCCCGACGAGTCTCTTTTCGAAGAAAACAGTACAACATGACACCCCTCTGGCCTAGACCAGACTGAGAAAGTGTGTAGATGGGCCGGGAAACGTGAACAGGACCAGCTTTCGTTACCAAACAATAAAGTAATTGTGTATCTTTTCCAAGACATTGCAACTATCCCCCATCGATTATGAAAAGGTAGAGACGGGTACTGCCGTCTCATCGCATAGACCCGCCCGGTACTTGCCCGGGGACACGGGAGCATAGGGGGCGTCATGCTAATCTGTGTATTTCCGGTGACTTTACTTACATTTCATTCCATATGAGTGGTTGTAATAGGGGTTCCAGCACACTGGTTTACCCAGGGGCTCATAATGCTGTCAAAACGGCTGTAGGGAGCGATTTGTGGCTTTACGAGGCGTGTTACGTTCTTCTTTTTCTTCTTCTTCTTCCTCTCCTTCTTCTTCTTCTTCTTCTTCTTCTTCTTCTTCTTCTTCTTCTTCTTCTTCTTCTTCTTCTTCTTTCTTCTTCTTCTTCTTCTTCTTCTTCTTCTTTTTCTTCTTCTTCTTCATCTTTTTCTTCTTCTTTTTCTTCTTCTTCTTCTTCTTCTTCTTCTTCTTCTTCTTCTTCTTCTTCTTCTTCTTCTTCTTCTTCTTCTTCTTCTTCTTCTTCTTCTTCTTCTTCTTCTTCTTCTTCTTCTTCTTCTTCTTCTTCTTCTTCTTCTACTTTGCTCACCGGCTGTAAGCTTCGGCAGAAAGTTCTGATTATTCATTCATTTGGACTTTGACTCGTCAAGGACCGAGTTTTGCGTGTACATTCGTTTTTACTGATTTATTTGTGTGCAGCTGGTTGTTCCCTCTCTCTTGTGCGGATGCACTCTGACTTTAAGAAAGCCCCAATAGTCGACTCCTGCGACATGCTTGATGGGGAGGCAGTAGGTCTCTTCTTGTTCCGCTTCTCCCCCCCCCCCCTCTTTTTCCCCAATGGGACCTCAGAACCCACACGGGGAGCATTTTACTTTCAGTAGCTAACCATGACTTACTGAAAGTTTAGTTCTCCATACTTTTGTAGAAACCAATCCAAAGCGGTAGAAAAACAACACCTGCGAAAAGACAACATTGCATCTACGCTTGTAAACAGCGAGAGGTGTTTCGAGTCGAACGAATAGATTTGTTTGCACCAAACGTAATTTAACATTTTTGATTGTCTCTCAGCAGGGCGGATTTTTGCCCTCAGAGAACTTCACACAGAGTACAAACTGTAGCCCTAGCAAAGATCCCTAGATATCGACCCAACCTTTAAGTATTACCAGGTAAAGTTATGGGAAGTAAAAGCCACATCAGCCAGTCTAGACAGTAAAATATGGATCTAGCCCTATATGCCATGTACGCCTAAGGGTATCGAAATGGTCCTTTTCTTTACTTTGCTGTTGTGCTTGTTCTCCAGGTTCCCCGACGATGTAGGACAATTGGTCCTATCAGTGTCTTATATACTGTGATTCTTCTTTTTCTTCTTCTTCTTCACCAGCTGTGAATTCCAGCGGAAAGTCCTGGTTGTTTTTCCGTTCGGACTTTTGGCTTTGTGCCGGGACCTGAGTTTTGCGTGTACATCCGTTTTACTGGCTTATTTGTTTGCAGTTTTCGTTCCCTGTCTCTGAGTTAAGAAATACCACATTTGATTTTAGAAGATAAAAAAAAAATAAAAGAAACGAATCATTACGAAGATCTTTTATTCACAAAGCATGAAAAACTTGTATGGTTTATGCGAACGCGTTTCGTAATTCTATGATGCCGCGCTAGATTCTAGCTGCAGGCGATTTAACAGCAGACCGACTTGCGTTTTTTCCTACAGTCGTATCGATCGGTGACCGTTCACAACAATGGTAAACTATTGAATGTAAATCTGCGATGAAAAATCGACAACAGCCCAAAAAAAAAATGGTGGGTTGGTTTTAGATAAGACCCAAAGCATGTGAAACTTGTATGATTTATGCCCCCGATGTTTCCTCCGTCCACAGATCCTTCACCACACAAACAACGTCTTCCAACTGGTTGCCCGAGCTCCAATATGTCGGGCCGCTTCAGATGTCATTGAGGGAGCCGAAGAAGCCAGCGATTGGAGGAGCCAGGAGACAGGTAATGACGTTAGCAGTGTTAAGTATAGTCTATGTGTTGTTTCCTTTAGGCCAGTTGTCTGCTAATGCATCCATCTTTCTGTCTTTGTAGTTGTCAGTGTATATGTGTTTCTGTCTGATTTATATATATATATATATATATATATATATATATATATATATATATATATATATATATATATATATATATTATAGTGCACCAAATATAGTGTGTGTGCGCGCTCACGTGTTATGTTATCACAGTCGACGTCACTGCACATTGGGCATTTCCATGCGTGGTCAGTCTTCCGATGCGACAGCCGATCCAACGTACTTCTACTAATTGTTCGCATGAGAGGTTGGTTATGATTTCTCCTATCTCTGCCTCGAGGATGGCGAAGATGGCTTCGCTATGCTTTACTCCCATGTCACAAAATCGTGTTAGTGTCAGAGACTCGTCATTATCCACTAGCCCAGTCCGTACAACGTTCATATCTGCTCTGTCCATGCTTATTTCCACACATGTTGGTGCATTGCTTGCCAGTTGGTCCGCTCGCAATTTACCCTTTACGGCAGCATGACCAGGTGTGTAGATCCAGGTGAAACATGTCCAAGGAGTCTGATAAAATTACCCCCCCCCCCCTCCCCCTCCCGTGTAACCGTTTGCTCTGCTGCTAGTGCTTTAGAAGTGACGGTTATCTCCATGGCAATACTTGATGTAGTTGCCAGTTAAGCGCCACTGTCCTCTTTTACTTGGAACTTGGAAAAAGAAAACTAAAATTTCAAGGTTTGTCCTCTTTCAGCAGCCCGAGGGCCTGCTTTATTGAGGAAGTTTTTTTTTTTTTTTTTAAATCTGAATTTATTTGTGGCGATCATTTTCGCCTGTTTGATTTTTTTTTTTTTTTTGCTGCTGCATCATGTCTGCGCGGTCAGGTTTGGCGGGCGGTTTCCAGTTTTTTTTTTTTTTTTTTTTTTTTTTTGGGGGGGGGGGGGGGGGAGTAAATCTTGAAACCCTAAAAAGGGCTTCCATTTGTGCCTCGGGCGTCCTGGAACAGGAATGGGCGGGGTCTCCTCGTGGCTGGCTTCTGCTATCATGTCTGGCGAACTTTTGGTGAGCTGTCCGTAAAGATGGCTGCGTAGTTAATGGGCTCTCTTTAGTGGCTGCGCGGTTTGTCTTCTGCTGCTTTCTAGGCTGTTGCGGGTCGTTTTTAGCAGGTATGTGGGTCAAAACAGGCGATATTCTCTTTTGTTGGGTGTGCCATGTTTCCTTTGGTTTTTTTCTTGTCTCGCGCAGTGGAGCAAGAGCTGCGTCAAGCTCATTGTAAAGTGTATCAACTTTCTTGCGTCCTTCTATTTCTATACATTTTTAAAGTAGGTATTTTCATGCATATATGCACTAGTAATAGTTGTGTCAACAATTAACAGGTAATAATAATTACCAGCCCAGAGGTACTCCCAAAAAAAAAAAAAAAAAAAAGATGGATATAGAGGCACATGTGCACATACAATAATAGAAAGAGAGATGAAGAGGAGGAGGAGAGAGAGAACTAAATGACTTATTCCTTCAGGAGGGAAGAATGTTAATCAATGCTTCAACAAGTATTTGTTGTAGGGCAGTGGTCGGCAAATCGCGGCTCGCGAGCCGTAAGCGGCTCTTTGGCGACCTGAGTGCGGCTCGGCCAGTCCGACACAAATCGGTTTCGTCTGCGGAAAACATGGTTCTTGACAGGTGCTTGAAAAAAACAAATTGGGCTCTCAAAAAAATTGTAATCGTTCGGTACTTTCTTATTAGCCGACCACAAACAGGTAAATCCACAGGTCACGGGACAGTCAAATATTTCAGGGGTGGTAGATTGAGCGTATAGTTTTAGTTAGGGTTAGGTAAACGTGTGAAAACCTTGTTCTTGTAAGAAACTCGCTAACGTACAGGAAGCACGGGAAACCCGATGTTACCACCCTCTAAAATATTGGACTGTCCGGTGACGTTATTTATGTTATGCTTTAAAAAAAAAAGCGCTAATCGTCCTGTTGTTGATTTTTGGCGTTTTTGACTAATGAGTTTGCTGACCACTGATGTTGGGCATCAACTATCAGTTTCATCTCTGACACCCCGAACAGCTCGCACTGAAAATTAAAGAGGCAGCTGCAAACTGCGCAGAATGCACTTACACATTATCCCACCCTCGTACAGTCATATCGTCGTTCTACGTATTACTTCTAGGTAGGTGGTCAGAAAGCTTGGGGGCAAAGTGGTAGGGTGTAGCGTCACACTGCCTGTTCCTCCCTCAAGTCACTGTAGTTTATTGTCATACATCTGGGTTCTGCTAACAGCGAGGAGACCCAAAACAGAGCCAGTAGCGCTCAACACAAGCTCTTGATAGAGGAGTGTGTGTGTGTGTGTGTGTGTGTATGTGTGTGTGTGTTTGTGTGAATTGTTGTTGCTGCTGCTGCTTCTTTGATCTTTGTTTGACCAACAATTGATGTACGCTTAAGAAACAGAACATACAGTAATTTGCACATGCGTGGGATTGTTTGGAGATCAGTTGACATGTTCAGGGATGTGTGGTGGTTATCTTGATAGCCTATTCCACGTACAATGAAAAATTGTGTTCATCTACATTAGGGGACGCTAATGATGGAGATGTCGGCTCTGTGGCTAAGTCGATGCGAACGCTTCGTAATGCCGGGGTGCTTGGTTCGATCACAGGTGTGAGCCATGCGCTTTGCGTTGGTTCCGACAGTGGTATCAGGGGGCTGACCGTCCAGAGGAAATGGCAAACTTCTGGACGTAAATTTGTCTAGAGAAACCACACAACAGCCAGGGGTTGCTGGGGGTTGGTTCTGCAACGTCCTGTAAAGGATACGCTGCTAAAAGAAAATGATGGAGATGACCATCTGAAAATTAAACGCGTGCAGTTTGATGTTTTTTGAAAAATTCATGGTACTCAGTTATATGTAAACATGCTGACTGTTTGCTTTCAATCAGTGTCTGTATTTTTTTTTAACCGCATGTAAGACAAAATGACAACTATATGCTTGTTTACATTGTTGTTCCTACAATGATATCATCTTCTTCTTCTTCTTCGCGTTCACCAGCTGTAAACTCTGGCGGAAAGTTCTAGTTGTTCATCCACTTCCGGACTGCAGTCCTGTTCCAAAACCTGAATGTTGCGTATGCATCGGTTTTACAGATCTGACTCATTTGTATGCAGACTTCTGCTTCCTTGTCTCTCAATCAGATGCACTCCAGCTTTGAAGGAAGCACCCAATTTATCGACTCTTACGACATGCTTTTGGGTAGGCAGTGGGTGTATTCTTGTTTTTCCTATAATAGTGTCCCGGAACCCACACAGTGACTACAGTAATATGATTACTGATAGGTTGCATGCCAGATTTAACAACTTACACCCAACTGTCATTGAGTGAAAGATTTTTAATGTTTTCCACGACTTCTGGAACCGACTGTAATAAAATAACTGAACACCGCCGGGAAATCAGGTGTTGTCTTTATTGTACATCTTTTACGCAGCATTAATAAAATAGCAAAATCATTCTTTAGGACACGTGAAAATCAACAGTTATTGCCATTTTGAAGAAATCTGAATCAATAGATTATGAAGGGACACGAGATAATTATTCTTATGAGTCTCCTAACGAAATACTTCACAGTCGTATCCGTATATAATTTTTTTTTTGGGGGGGGGGGGGGGGGGGGGGGGGGGGGGGGGGTGGTGATTCAATAGAGTAACTTCCATAGCATGAAATAAGAAATGTTCATTCGTGTAAAAAAAAAAAAAAAATTATTTTGTAAATTCTAAGAAAATTAATCGAGAGTGACATTCAAACTGAGACAGATTGTTGTATGTACGTAACGCAAAATAAAATAAAAAAACAAATCCCTAGAAAATGTGATATAAAGTTCGTCTGGGTAATAGAAATATATATTGCAAAACTCCAATTCTGCCATTAACCATTTATCGCATAGTCGTTTCAAATTTCACAGCAACGAGTGAGCCGATAACTGCTTAGATACTGTGTGCCTGTCAAAACCAGATAGAAGGTCCACCACTATGACCTCTTGAAAAGAAACTTGCAGAAATCCCTTTAAGACCAGCAGTATGCACATGCATTAAATGTATAAGGCAGTTGGCGGAGAGCCAGCGCCAACTATTCTAACTAGAACTGCGATTGCTATGTGCTTAGCAACTTTAGTGATTTAAAGGATTTCATCGACACCTGCCTTGAGATTAGCCATTATGTTTCTCCACACCTTGTTATCCGCCAGAAAACAAATGTATTACTTCGCTTACCAACACTTTCCATGGCATGATAAAATGCCGTCAGCAATCTTCTCTTCACCTCTTCTGTCTTTATCTCACTTTCCATAAATATTTCTAGTTGTTGTAACACATTCATTTCTCGCTTCTCATAGAAAAATTATGTTTGGTACTTTCTAATGGGTCTGATACATTCTTCCCGCGCCTAATTCTCTAAAAGGGTTATGCATAGATAAGAGAATACTGCCAGAGATTCATTCTTACCTGGCAAAATGAAAAAGCAATTATGTTGCTGGAATTCTTGCCTGTTTGACTGAAATCAGTGCATATAAATAAATGTTAATACTGCAGATAGAACGAGTAATCAATGACCTGCAAAATAGGACAATTATAACCTCTTCTCCTTCTTTTTTTTTTCCCTTCCTCTTTTCTTCTTTATCTTCTTCTTCTTCTTCTTCTTCTTCTTCTTCTTCTTCTTCTTCTTCTTCTTCTTCTTCTTCTTCTTCTTCTTCTTCTTCTTCTTCTTCTTTGTCTTCTTCTTCTTCTTCTTCTTCTTCTTCTTCTTCTTCTTCTTCTTCTTCTTCTTCTTCTTCTTCTTCTTCTTCTTCTCTTCTTCTTCTTCTTCTTCTTCTCTTTTTCTTCTTCTCTTCTTCTTCTTCTTCTTCTTTTCTTCTTCTTCTTCTTCTTCTTTCTTCTTCTTCTTCTTCTTCTTCTTCTTCTTCTTCTTCTTCTTCTTCTTTTCTTCTTCTTCTTTTTCTTTTTCTTCTTCTTC